CATGACATGATAAAAACAATCCATGCAACTTATTTAACCCCTTGCCGTCCGCCTGTTAAGAAAAAACGGACGGACTGGTTTAAATACCACGAAAAGAAAGCTCTATCTGTCCCCAAAAAAGGGTATAAAATTCATTTCAGTACAGTGTTGCATGACGGAATAAATGTCAGTGAAAGTACCGCAGCGCTGAATACTGAAAAATGGCCTGGATGGGAAGGGGGTTTAACACCCCAGATGTCAACTGGTTAAAGGGTATTGGTAATATATGACCCATGTAAATGTGTAGTTATGGTTAAAAAATTTCAATGACTAATAGATGGTTTTAGTTATTTACCATGAACAAAAGCGTATAAATCTTTCACTGCAGATTTGTTACTTTTATCCATCAACCAAATCTGCAAAATGGGGCACATGTCCCCCCAACTGTTCTTGGTGACATAACTGCCTCTCTATAGCTTTGCTTACAATGACTTGTATGCATTGCATTATCTTCCAGCTATTGACTAAGGTTTGTGTTAAATATATACCATAATATTAAATATACCAATGACTTGATTTGATTTAGATGTCACTTAGTGGCATATGTCAACTCTCATCACTTTGTGCTAGCTGGAGTTGCCTATCCAGTTCTGACATGTATTCCAACATTTCAATTCAGTGACACATATGGTGTCAGTCACAGATTTCCTTTTTGTTATTTATAACACAAAGCAGCATATAATGCTATTATAGTTTAATAGACAGTGACAGAAATAATGTTTTAAATCAGCTTATTGCAGTATTTTCACATGCTCCTACATGTATAATTTATAACATCACAAATATTCATGGATTTTCTTCAATTTTAAAACTAAATGTTATCCAATGTTTATTGTTAAGCAAAAGAGCAAAATTAATGTTTGCCATTTTGTAAATTATGAGCAGGATGGAATCGATACAAAGATACTCTGCTTTTGGGGCCTCTGCTTTCCTAGCATCACTGAAATGTATTCAGTGGTTCCTAAAATATGTAGCTTATTTTTTTTTTAATTAAGTTGAATTGTGTTTGTATTGATCTTTACTTCACCCAAGTTAAGTAATAATTATAGGAAATCATTTTCTATTTGGCTTTATGATGATCATTGGTAATAGTCTCCCAGGATGGGCAGTATTTGGGTTGTATGTAGGGTGGTGGGTGGTGGAATAAAGTAGTATTAAAGTCACTTTTGTTTTTACATATATCTACTGCTAGCAAGTAATATATATATATATATATATATGCAAAAACATAAAAAAAATTTAAAAAGTTACCAAATAGGTAAATACTTACCAATGTCTCAACCACTCACTCCCTGAAGATCTTTAGATTATCGAGATTACCATGCAGAATGTAGGGGCAGGTGCAGATCTTCATCTGGGAGAAGAGGAGAGACACAGTGTAAATCAATGCAGGCAGCTGTGAATGTGCATGTCGGAGAGACACCGCAGGACACAGAATACACAGTAGTCAGCGCTGGATCAGAGACCGTTACCAGTGCTGGAGGGACTCCTAAATAACTGGAAAGTAGAAGATGATCAGATCAAGAGGCATCATTTAAGGTAAGTCCTTAAAGAAGAACTATGGGGTCAGTGTTTTTCCCCATAGTTCTCCTTAGGGTAACGGGAGGACACAAGCTAGCGTCCTCCCGTTACCCTAAGCTCAGTATACCTCGAGCTACAGCTCGCGGTATACTGAGACGCCGCACCTGGAGCGGATCCCGACGTAGATGACGGGATCCGCCCAGCTGCGTGAGTGACAGCTGGCTCTGCCTGCCTAGAGGCAGAGCCAGCTGTACCCGCCCCCTCCCCCGTCCGTTCCGCCAGTCAGCGCTGGCATATCGGAGCGGGGAGAGGGGAATCCAGCCCCTCCCCCTGTCACGGCAGAGAGCCGTGACAGGATCGAGAGGTGAGGGAACCCGGTATGTGTTCCCTCACCTCCCGATCTACTGAGCCGACCTGTGACAGTCTCATTGGCACAGGTCGGCTTAGAACTATGAGGTGAGTGGAAATCACTCATCTCGTAGTTCTCCTTTAAAGCAGCATAGAGGGGGATTGTGACTTTAATGTTATTTGAGTACTGTACTGTGATTTCAGGATGGCATGATGTCATACCCCCAAATAGACTTTACCACTCTAAATATTTAGTTGCCTATTTGCTTCTAGCTAGAACAATTGTGCATATCTGGAAAGTCAGGTTTAAGCCAGGATACTGATTAACATGATAGCCAGACAGGTACCATTTTTGAAAAGAAGTGTAAAACATCTGGCATTTAACCCACCACCTATGAACTTAATGTTTAGTGCACTTTCTGCACAGTAATACATTCGTATTCTTTCATTTAAAAAGTATGTATTTCAGACCTTTGTATGTATTTCAGACCTTTGTAACATAACACACAGGCAAATAACATATATATTCTGTATTATACTATATTGTTACTGGCAGTGGCATCGTAAATTACTTTTTCTTTAGCTTTAAAAAGAGTAGGGAAGGGTTAAAACCCCTGTTGGTTTATTTTTGCTGCCTTTGTCCCTTTGTACTGACTTACTTTCATTGACTGATGTCCCAGAAATGCAACAGGAAATGAGAGAAATCTCCACAGAGTAAAGAGAATTTCCATCCCAGACAGTTGTCACCCGCCCAGCTATCCACATTGGAAGATTTACCTTTACCTCTTGTTCTGGTGACAATTTTGGATTTCACTTCACTTTCTGTTTCAGTTACATTGGTCCCCCTCACAAATAGAGAGAGGGTGAAATCACCCAATGGAGACACAGACAGCGATTTAAACTTAATAGGGGGTCTAAGCCTTCCAAATGTTATCCAAAAATAAATAAATAAAACTTGTTTAATAGATTGTTCTACAGTGTATTTGAAAATAGTACACTCTATTATACAAGTGTTATTTGTTCAGTAAATATTACAATATCCCCCAAAAAGTGTAGCAATTGTCACCCAGGTTGTGTTATAAATTAGATCTAGGTCCTGATTCAAACTGGGATATTTGGAATAACAGCTGTTGTGTATTTGCATATACTGTAGGTTGTGATATGTGTTGTAAAGTTCATTGCCCTTCAAAGAATAGCATACTGTTACTGCCCTCATGAAAGGAGTCCAAGAAATGCTCATGCTGTACATGTGTTTGTGAAATTAAGTAGGTAAACTGTTAGCTACAGAAGCTGAATCACAAAAGGTTTTCACTAGGTATAAAGGTTATATGAGGGCACTAAGATTTCTTCTGTCACAAGTATTCACAGTCAAGTAGTGCAGTGATTGTGGTTTGTAGTATTTAATATCTTTGATTGATCCCTCCCCATATGTTTTTTAGGGCTATACTTCTTTTTACTCCCAATCTCATCTATAGGTTGTGATGGGCAACTATTTGTTCCCTATTTTGTGCTAGAACTTTTACTAATATGGTAAGTTTGGTAAAATTTAGGTAATATCTGAGTTTGTCGTTTTTTTATAGGCGTTTGGGCTCGGATTTCTTTAAGGATAGAGTAGGGGATCCATATTGAAAGTTATTTGAACTGGGAACATGATATATAGTCATATTGAATACTAGGATTTCTCCTGACTAGATGAAGATAAAACTAATGTTGGAATGCTAGCTTATATCCTATTATTAAACAAGTTTTTTTATCTAATATTTATGCTGCTATAATACTGTCTCCCCACTCTTAAGATTAGGATTATAGGTCGGTGGATATTATCTATATGGGTATTTTTACCAGGTAATATCTGGGATTGATATTTTTCTATGTGCTTTTAGGACTTTTTCTTCTATTTCTTATATCCTATGCACATGTTGTGATGTTAAATTGGAAGTTCCCATTCGTTATATAATTTGCATAAGTGGACTTACTATGTAATATCTGGAGCTGATGTTTCTTTACATGTCTACAAAATTGTTCATCTTTCTGTATGTGCATATTGTGATGTGATATAGAATTTTTTATTTATATGTGTCATTTGTAGGCAGATTAAATGGTTAATAGTTGTCCCACCCCTGTTGGGGGTGAGGAACTAGGGAATTTAAGGTATGTTATTTTGATTTTTACTTGCTATGACTAAGGCCCAGTTTGGGGGCTGAAACATGTAACAATTAGTTGGTTTGCTGTTTTTATGCCTTTTTACAAATAAAGTACTGGATGGATGGATCCCCTTGCAAGTGCCGTTTTTTTTAACCTATCAGTCAAGTAGTGCCCCTTTGATGAATACTACCAAACTTTGCCCTTTAGAACAGGATGATGCTTTAAGAGTGCTTCTCCAAAAAATGGAGGAATCTCCAAAAAATGGGCACTCTTTAAAAACAGATGAGCACAAATTGGGCTATTCTACACCCTTAGTGCCCAAATAGATTTACATGTAGTTGCCTTTTGTAGATTTATGAGATATTGTTGAGGTTGCTGGTGCAAAGACTCATAATCCGATATGTGAATCAGCAAACAACAAGTTGCAATAGAAAATAATGTTATTACCTGACTGGCTACACAATGTGTCGTTCACATGCAGTATATGTATCTTAACTGTATTAGCTGTTTATTAATATTAACTCAATTTAGGGCTTGTTCATACCATCTACAGTACTTGAGGTAACACACACATCACTGCAACATGAAACAATGCACATTAAGTATGCTGGATCAGTGCAGTGCCATTTCTTTATTACCATTTTTTGGCAGCACACCACCACACACATCTGTTGGCTGGTTTATTAAGATGCCATTAATTCTGAATGGCACCACATTACACCAGTGCACGTAATGGGCATTACCACACATTGTGGCTACACATCCAGTAATGTGCACGTTACTGTAAATAGAGGGTGTGAATAGGTCCTAGACCTATTAAACATAAGAGGTTCACAATGTGTCCAGAACATTTCTACTCTTTACTGTGTAAGGATTTATTGCATTATTATTTTAATGAATACTAATTCTGGTTTTGTCTTTCTTTTTGCATATTCTCCATGATGCAGCAGACCATTTAGGAATTGAATTTATGGGTAAGTTGATGCTATTTTTGTTTGTAACATTTCATTTCAGTATTTCAGATTGTGAAACGTTGTCGAGTTACGCTGTTAGAATTGAGTTGTAAAAGGGACATTAGAGAATATTGTAGACTGCCATTGCTGAACCCTCTTTCGAGAATGTAATTTGCCTGACTGTCATGCTGATAAGGTGGGTTGCTGTACTAATTATTGGTGCTCATTCAGTAGTCTTTAAATTCTTGGCCTTGTGCACACATGTAGAGCAGGTCATCTTCCTGCGGCTGCATCCTATCTTTGACGAAGACTGAGGATATGTCTTCTTCTGCCTACAACAGATGGGTAATATTGTTCTCTTAGATTTCTCCTTTCAGCTTAGGTACAGTCAATTGCCCAATGTTTGAGAGCTGCTGTTTTATGATAAAATGTACTAGTTTTCTGAAAATTACAATTTTGGTTACCTTAGGAATGTGTGTATGTATGCGTGTATGCAGAATTGTAGAGTTACTGATAGATTTACATAAAGTCATTCTAGATAAAATATCCATATTTCAGAACATTATTTTATGCTATCGCTGCTTTAAAACATTATAAGGATGTTAGATATGCAGACATTTTCAGAGAGCTGCAGTGTCCTGGTTTTGACGTACAAGTGTACATAGATTATACTGGTAAGAAAACAATAGTCATAGGGTTATGTATATATGAATCTCTATTGTCTAGTTTCCCTCCAAGAGAAGTTTTCTGGTGGGCATTTGCCTGTCACCATAAATAGGAACTCATCACCCAATCTGAAAACAGGCTATGGACTACTTTAATATCATTTAAAAATTAAACTCTGTCTATTCTGTCTTTGGACTTCTTTGTTTACTAACTCAGTTAGCAGTCTACATATTGTTGGAGAAATTGTTGGTGACCATGCCTATGTTTGACATCTTTATAGAAAATCAGAATTAATTTACCTTTTTCTCTGTTCTTTTCTATTGAAGTGTATGTTTAATTTCAAATAAATCTTTTAAAAGTTGTTTTAAAATGCAATTTTCCATGAAAAAAAACCTGATAATGATAGTTGAATACATTTGCTGTGTTTATCTATTAGCATCTTTACCTGCACCTCACTCTTATTTAATCTGTGAGGCTAACCCTATCCCTCCTTTAACATAGCTTTGAACCTAACCTGCCTGAAACCTTACTAAACCAGAGCTAGGATTACTCTGTGTAAACTTGGACAAATATTGAATTCTGAATATATTTTATTGTGGCACATGGTAAAGTAATGTTTTGCTAAAAAATTGTGCTAAAGCTAGAAATACATTTCTTCATCAACACTAAAAAGTGCCCTCCACTAGAATGTCTCTCTCCCAGTTGTATAGTACTCTTAGCGCTACCCACCGGGAGTCATCACCTTCGACACCCAGGTTTGCTACCGTGTTCCCCGAAAATATGACAGTGTCTTATTTTTTTTTTTTGCACGCTAATATAAGACCTACCCCGAACTAGGTCTTATTTTCGGGGTAGGTCTTATATTACAGACATCCCCGAAGATAGCGCTAGGTCTTATTTTCGGGGGATGTCTTACTTGCGGGGAAACACGGTATCAAGTGGGCTCCATTACTGCAGCTCAGACCTGAAGACACATATCAGCTCTTGCTCAGGGGATGGTCGAGTGTACTTAACCGCTTGCTGACCGGGGTGTTTATACCCCCTTCCTGACCAGGCCATTTTTCAGTATTCAGCGCTGCAGTACTTTGACTGACATTTATTTCCGCCATGCAACGCTGTACTGAAATTAATTTTATACCATTTTTTATACCAGTTTCCCGCATGTGCACGCCGCCTAGCGGCAGGCACGAGCGGAACGGGATAGGACGTCTAAAGACGCCCACCTGCCCTCAAGAAGCTGCTGTCCGGCCATTTAATTACAACGGCCGGACAGCAGGTAGTTAAACACATGACTAATGAACAATGGAGGGAAATACAATTTAAAATTATTCACAGGGCATATTATGCCCTGAATTTCACTTCCACCTCAGCCAACGCCACCTGGATCACTGACTGTCCCAAGTGCCACACTCCACGCCCTAATTTGACGCACATCCTTTGGAAATGCCCTTATCTCCAACCCTTTTGGCAATTAGCACTTGACGATATGAATTCGCTCTCAGACAGGCCTAGGGACTGTCCCCAGCAATATGTCTATTCCACTCCCTGATTGCTTCTGAGCAGGGCAAGGTAGAATCTTTAACCCAATGGGAACACTGTTGCCTTTTGGCTGTCAAAAAACACATATTACATAACTGGCTTAATCCTCAACTCCCTACATTGATTGATGTCAAAAACACACTTCACCAACTCATGCTAATCCACAAACTAGATACCAAAAATAACTTATACAACACTGAAACATTTTTCCATACATGGACCCGCTTTTTAACAACTGAATGTACTGTCGACCAATTGAGGGATATTATGCTAGTTGTTCAGAACTCACGATGGTACCTTCTATCATCGGAAGGCTCTTAGGCAAACTTGATGTTCTGGGATAGTGCTCTGCTGGAGAGTACTCTCTTTGAAATTAGACCAGCGCTCTCTACTCCACACTCTTATAGCTGTGACTTATTCCCCCATATCATATGCCACACATACATTTCACATTTAATTATTCAATTATTTTCTTCTCCATTTCAAGTCCTCTCCACACCACTCTTGATCCGTTCCTACCCACTAGCATCACCAGACACAAACTAGCTGACAACTGTTACAGTCTCAGCCCTACAGGCAACCACACACTGTTAAACTGTTAACCTGTTAAATTGTAGTTAGATGTTCTTATAATGCATAATATGACTACAGTGGCCATCACCATGCACATTTTAACTACTTTACAAATCTCTGATTGTTCCACTTCACTAATGCTTCCATGATAACGTGATATGCAGCATAATAGGTTATGATTGTAGTCTTTTAATATATGTCTCTTTTAACCCTGTTGTGATAACTCTGTTGTAACTGATTATTATTTTGAATAAAATCAAAATACACTTGCAAAAAATAAACACTAAAAAGTGTGAATAGGGGAATCTCTGTTGCTGGCTATTGTATTCAGACAACTGCAACGCCCACGCTGCCTGAATACCTGAACAGTGACTACATAAGATAAGATGAACTGTTTGTGTCCAGGGGCAATCATCAGTCCTTAAGTGCAGGTAATTACTCCATGTGCAATTACTACCCCGAGCCAGACTCGGGAATACCGCCAGGGAGGTTAATGGCCATGGGCAGCTGTCAGCCTCTCATTGCTTCGTACAGGGTGATCAGCCTAAACTATCCACCACCTCTCATCCCAGCCACAAGTTTTCTTTGGACTCCTGTTATTGTTGGCCCTAATCACAGGTGTGAATAAGGCTGGGCACACACCTTACAACCATCCCATACAACCATGGGGGTAAAGGAGGTAGGGACCCATGCGGGCTACTGGATGGGGGAGACAGTGAACCTGTCTTGAGGCATTCTTCAAACGGATACTACAATGCATTCTAAAATTTGTCGATGTATATATAATTTATAAATCAGTAATTCTAAACTAATGTTACTCTAGCACTAAGTAATGCCATTAATACATTTGGACTAATTATTATCATAAGAGTGTATCAAAGCATATTTCCTTCATATTCTCCAAATTAAAGACCAAAGGGACTATCAATACAAGTAGCTCAGATACATCTACTAATATACACTATTAAAAGTGGCATATGCAAAACAAAATAAGATAAATCTAAAATGTGTCCCAATGGATCCAAGAAGTTTATCCTGATATATCAAACAGTATACACATTTCCAATCCTAAAGATATTATATATGAATCAACTATGTATCATGAATTGAAATACTGAACAAATTAATTTTAACCAAATCCATACTTAGAATTATTAAAATTGTATATACCTTCTCAGAATCAGTGATAGTGTGGCTGAAGCTTGTGTGTGGCTTCACTGATTACATTGGCTGGTCAGACAGATTGAGGTGGATTATGAAAGGTTAGGCAGGAGCATAGTTTGGATGTTACCAGATTGCCAGACATCTAAAACAAGGTAATGGGACTTATACAGGGGTGAGCTTTGTGCAGGATTGTCACAATCCAGCAGGTAACGGGGGGTTGGACCACAGCTGCGGATATGTAGCGTGTAGGCTTTATGGGATTGGGTCAGTCAGACGGCTCCCTAATACACCAAGTGTGATGGGGAGCCGTTCCACATCATGTATCCCAGCCTAGAATTAAGGAGAGGTAAGAAAGGGGGTAACACTACCCAGTACTACCAGTAGGTATTAGGTTAACTATTAAGGGGGTCTGATGGGACTGTAGTCCGTAGGTATGCCAAATGCATGTTCATCTGGTATATACAGTCCTATGAAGCTCCTATTAATGTGGTTAGTAAGGTAACAGTTCCAATGCTCCATCAGTATATAGCTAGTAATAACTGGAGAGACTACTCCACAGCAGTATCGATACTTTTAGGCAGAAGCACAGGCAGACAATACTCCAGCAATATGTTCAGCAGTATAAACCAAGTTAGGAATTAGCAGAGACAGGCAATACTCCAGCAGTAAGGCTCTACTTAGTTAAGCACAGACAGGCAATCATCCAGCAATATGTGTCAATTAAGCAAGGCACAGACAGGCAATACACCAGTAGTATGGATGGAATTATGCAATAGTACAGGTCTCCACATTTAGGGACAAGGCCATACTACTTGCGGTTGTGGCTCTCTATGTTGAGGAATCGCTCCTTCCTGCAAGGGCTGAGTGGCTCTGTAGTGATGGGATGTGTCCCAGAAGAGATCCAGGCTTTGGAGCGTGGGGAGCCGGTCGGGTTCAGTGGAAGCAGCGGAAGACAATGCTCGACGTTCCACATTGACTGAACGCCGAATGATTGCCTCCACTGCGGTTTTGAAAGGAAGCCCCGGTCAGGGGGCGGAGCCCTGCGTGACGTCACGGCCACAGCGGAGCTGGAGAGGCCG